GGCCGGCAGAGAAACGGGCAGAAATGGGATCCTCTCCACAGCCGCCGATGCACGGGGGACGCGCACGTTCCTGAGTGCGAGGCGACTGGAGAGGTCTGGTCTTACCCAGGGGAGAATGTGTGGAGACGCTGCGGCAGGCAGCGTCGGGCTCCCTAGGCTCTCCGGAAATGGCCACTCCCCTATACTTCCCGACCCAGGGCGAGATCCAGAGGGAACCACAAGAGGGGTAGACATAGGGAAGAGAGAAGAGGTGACGGGTGGGTTAAGGGAGGAGTAAGAACACTGGGAAAGGAAAGGGGGGTGTTACCAGGGGATGGGAGGAGGATAAAAGGAGGGAAGCAAGGAGAGTCGGGGAGGATTTCGGAGGCGACTGGCCAGACAAGCGAGGGAGACGGAGACGCAGCTGTTGACCCCGAGGAAGGTGACGCGGGGAGTGACGAAACTCCCCGACCCTTCCGCATCTGAGGCTCTCGCTACTCTTACCCTAAAGGTAGAACATACTCCTGCAAGGTAAAGTCTTTCCAAATAATGGGCGAACAGGTTCAATATCAAGCCTTAATAGGTGTAACTATTCATCCCCTTTTAACTCTGTGGCATCTCACTTCTTAAAGGTATAATCTTAACATCTTGAAATTGACAAGGCAATCAGACAAGGTAATTGACACAGACCCAAGCAAGTCTGTTTGCTATTATAACAACTATGTTACAAGTTTACAAAAAGGAACCAAAACTTATAAACAAATCAGTACAGAGAAACTTACACCAAGGAATCACCTCAAATAAACTGACATACAGGAAACAGGCCAGATCTAATTAATTGTTAAACCCAGCAGGTTGACACGTATTTAATCTAAAAATCCAAAAGGCTTCCCTACAAAATAACATGTTCTGCATATCCATCATGCTGTATAGTTTGGGGCAGACCACCTCTAACACTACAAATATAAAATCCTCAGGACTATGCCTCTTCTCTGAGAAATTTTGGAAGAGGGGGGCATCAGGACATTTGTGTTTCAAATGAGATTTGTGTTCCAATACCCATGTCTTTAACGCCCGTGAGGACTTCCCTATATAATTGAGTCCACAAATACATTATATCAACCTGCCTTTTCTATCAACCTGCCTTTGGTTGAGCAGGTTGATAGAAAATTAATATCTTTCTTAAATCCTGCTTCCAGGAAACTCAGGCTTTTGGTCTCCCATGCCTGCGGGCATGCTACACATTTGAAACATTTAAAATGACCTCTCGGAGTAGATTTCAAATGTTTTATTGTTGGAAATTTCATTAACCGCTGTAGTTTTCATTAAGTTGTAGAGATTGATGAATGACAATGGATTTAACCATGGAATGAGAAGAAACAACTATTGTTGTCTGTATGATTTTTAATGAGATTGTTTAATATATAGCTTGGTAGTACATTGTCTAGATATGAAGATAACATTGTATATTGTATTTTATGAAGGAGACTGATGTTTGGAAGAGGTTCTTTTTACGAAACAGAAGTTTAACTCTGGAGAATTTCGTCCATCTGAAATTGGAAATTTATAAAAAGATCATATTATATGCTCTGATTGTACTTATTTCTGTAATTTGTAAGATTACAATTTGTAAGATTATAAGCGCTTTTTGCATCAATTACAGTTTATTTGTTATTCATTTTTGTTGACTATACGAACTGTAACCCCTGCCCTATATGTTGATCTTCGCCAGCTGCGAACCAGCTGTGAGCCTCAGACCAACTAGGGCGTCGGACCCACCAAGTAGTCCTTGACAACAGGCTCTGTCTCCCACCTAGTCCTAAATCAATATAGCCCTACCAATTTAGTTTAATAGCCTATAAATGCCTCTTTTAAATATACACACCCACACATACATACTCACTCCAATCAATTAGCCAATAACTTAAATTTAAATAGTGGCTAATAGAAGTCTGTGGGAAAATTTCCTTTAAGCAACCAGAGGATCTCTTGTCAATCTGTAGCGGTGTCTGTCACAAACCTTGACTTGCACAAACCTCGACATTAATGCCTTGGCTAACAGAAAACAGCCACAAATATCATACTGACTAGGTATGCATGTGTAGCTAGATAAAAGGATTCCACAATAAAATATTGTTCCAAAATGGATTGCGTTCAAGTTAACATTTCTTCATTGACCTCTGAATGTTTACTTTTGATCTAAATAGGTAGGTTAATAATTTTGCTACATTTTGATTTAAGATGTAGCCCTCTTCAGGCATTGGGCACTCTGATGCAACCTCCATGTGCCAGAAGGTTGGGGACCCCTGGTCTATTATAATTATTTTCCAAATGTAGTTTAAATAGAGATCAAAATAGTGGGTAAATATTAACATGTAGTGTTATCCTGCTTGTTAAACTAGTGTTAAAAGAAGGAAAAAGTTAGCTTACGGTCTCATACTGCTGTAGAGACCTTACAACATCTGTTTTCTAAAAATGGCACTTTTTAGCAGATGACAGTTGCCCGCAGGAGACTCAGAAATGATGTTTTTAATTAAAACTTTATTTTCAGATTCATGATTCAGAGCACATATCAACAGAAGTACACTTCATCCCATTTGAACTTGTAGCAGCGAACATTAAATGAAATGAGCATCTTCATTTTAAAAGATTTCAACTGTCTGCTCAAGCTTTGCATCCTGTGTTTGAAGCAAGCATCTGTCTGCTGACCTTGATTATCAGGTTATGCAAGTCGTCTATAAGTTCCATGAGGATTACAATTTTAACACTGTACCATATGGTGCAACAATTTAACCTGAAGCAGTCAGCAGATGGCTTAAAAAGTTAGACATGCCAGATGAAAAGCTTTGATCAAGCAGTTGTTATGAAATGTTGCTACCACATCTGCAATTGTTTAATGTTAGAAAGAAATAAAATATAAACATACAAATCAAGAACCTAATTATCCCCATGTCTGAGGTAGCATTTCTACACCTTATGTAACTGGAAATATATTACAGAAGATCAGCCTGCTTCACAATCTGTGGTGAGCTGTCATGACACACAAGTCCTATGCATATAGGCACAGCAGAAATCTTGCTTTATTCCCTGTCTAATGCTATTGTAGAATTACTACCCTAGTCTACAGGTACTTGTGTGCAGTAACAAGCCATGTGTGAATCATTACATGCAATAAACTCTGTACATACACCTGTAGAATAAATGAATGATGCTGGGTAGGGAGGAGGGGAGCAACAAATTTAAAAGTGGGCTACATGTTCATAACATTTCAGGAACACTGATCTAATATAGATTAAAGTTTGTTGCAAGTTCACCACCCTTGGGTGTCTGAATGTATTGCATTTTATGTGGTTGACTCCTAATTCTCCCTTCCACTAGGACCCCTCCTTCAGCAGAGGCAAGGCTCCTTAGTTAGCAGAAGGGAGTTGTATGATCCTTTCTGTTTCCAAAATGATAATCACCTATGGGAGCACAATGTTATCATATCTTACTCTACTTTTAAGCAATGTGCTAGCTATGTATAAAGGAATTGAAATGAATATGGGCTGCGGTCACACGCAACATTAGCCACGCAAGAGATACGGAAGACAAGCGGAGTTTCCGGTCGCGATCTCACCAGCACATCTGGGAAGCGTAGCGCTTCCGTGGCACAACTGAGGCTTCCTGCCGAAAAAGCGCAGCAAAAAACTAGTACCTTGGAGGTACTAGTTTCCAGAAACTGCGGGGCAAGGGCGGGCGTCTGATCGCGTTTCCGGTGGTATCCGGCGCCCGCCCATGTCCCCTTGCGGAAAAGGGTTTTTTTTCCCCACGTCTCCGTGGATGCGCACACGCACCCAACGGAGCATGCGCATTCGTAGTGTACACAAAAAAAGAAAACCAGTTCGCCGCGCCGCGCGCTTCTTCATTGCGCGCAGGCGTGTGTTGTGATCGGCACCTCTCCCTTGCCATGGAACCTCCACAGTACCTCCACAGAACCTCCACAGTAGGTCTGATAGCTTTACTGCATGTTAGTTTGCCCCGGGGCAAACAGCCACACTTCTCCTCTGCAGTTTCCTGCCCGTGTGGCAGGGGCCATGATTTGACAACTATTATGAAGAACTCCACAAACATTAAAATTTCTTTGAGGGGAAACAGTCACCATAGATTATATTAATAAAGGTTTATTACATTTTCAGCTGTATGCTTACAATATGACATGTAAATCCTAATGTAAATATACAGAACTAAATTTTGACAGGTAGCTAAAAATAGAGGCTCTTGAACTTCATGATGGATCACTCCCACAAGTACAAAAACAAATTATTTAACCTGCTCAGCTATATTAAAGACCAAAAATTGATCAAATAGAAAAGTGCATTCTTTTCCCAGGTGAAAGGTTAGGAGCATAATCCTATGCAGAGTTACTTCACTCCATGCCCATTAGTTTCTATAGGCCTACGTTTAGAGTAATTCTGCATAGGTTGGCAGTATAAATGGATCACTGGGGGCCGGGGGAAAGGGAAAGTACAGTCATATGGGTCTTATGACTAGTGTTAAGGTACCCAAAAGAATGGCAGCTCTCTCTATTCTTCCCTTGAATCCCCAGTACCATAAGCATAACTAGGAGCATGGACAACTGCTTGTGTTCTACTGATTGGAGAATAATGGACAGAGGAGGTAGATCCATTACCTACTCACTGTTTAAGTCAGCCCATAGAACTTTAATATGTGGATGAAGATAAAAAGCTTCCCCTAGCAACTGCTTGCTCTTCTATAATCTCCTCCTTACCTTCCATGGTTCAAAACATACACCAAACCACACAGATGGGTCTTATCTTTGTACTGCTTCCTAAGGTTCATTTCTTTGACTGTGTTTGTTGGTGAATAAACCAGAGAATGGCCTGATGTTCATTTTTATAATGCTTAAAAAATTAGAGAACTTCCATGGAATTTTTTTAACATTTCCTTCGTTAGGATTTAATCATTATCTCTTAATCATCATCCCTTTTTCTGGCTACTGTGTCTTCATTATTTTTTCTTAGGTATATGTGACAGAACCTAGTGACATGGAGTTCATACCGTGTCAAGTTGAGGCACGTGTGGGTCAAATTTTGGAGCTGCCTCTGAAGATTAATGGTCTAATGAAGGTGGAAACTAGTCAGATAGTCACCCTGAGTGACTGTTCACATTTTGATTTAGTTGTCGATGTTGAAAACCATGGTGTGTTCAGTCCAATTCAAGGTAACAAAAAATTCTATCCATTATTCACATTCTGTGGTTTTAAGATTTTTAATGAACAGCAGATGTTTATAAATGATTACCAGGGATCATAACAAGATTAGTGTCACAGTTTGCCTCTTGGATGCTTACCTGACCTGAGTACAAAGTGCCCTTCTGGTGAGTGGCAGTGCACGAATGCATCACTTCCTCTCTATTGAGCTTTACCACTGTTGCCAGTGGTCATGCTGCCACCCACTGCACAAAATGTTGTGCTGTTTAGTATCTATATTAATGAGAGAGTACAAAGCTTTGGATATGGATATCATCGATGTGCAGAAAACTCTCTCACACACACACAATAAAATACACCTCGCAATGCTACCATCTCTGTTTTGGGGCAATGTCTGATTGCTTAGATGAAGTTCCTGAGAGAGAGTAAGCTGAAACTGAATCATAACAAAATGGAGCTGATGCTGGTTGTAACACATTTGCTCTTGATGGGGATTAGATGAGTCCCAGCTTTCTTTGAAAGATATTCAGAGCTATGCACAAGTTAAGCTACAGTTTGAAGTTTTAGATTATACCCCTCCCATTACTAACTTAACTTCTTTGGTAGTAGGTTTCCCTTGCTCGAAAGCCAGTCGAATCCGACTCTAGGGCTGCGGTGCTCATCTCCATAGTAGGGCCTCTTTAATATAACGTGCTCAGTTTGCCATGGTGACTGCACTACAGTAATCTTGAGGTTTATAACACACATTACAGGGGGCTGCTCATGAACACTACTCAGAATTGCAATTGGCACAGAATGTGTTATCCTGCCTGTTAATTGGGAGGAAGTTGTAGGAAGCTTATTACTCTCACTTTACGGTTGCTTTTGGATCTAAAAAGGGAGGGGATATGGGTATCAGGCTCCCCATGCTGGAAGGGGCACTTTTGGTGCAGGCCCAGAAGTTGAGGAGTCTGGGAGTGACACTGGATGCCTCTCTTTCCATGGAGGCCCAGGTTACTGTAGCTGCCTGATCCACCTTTTTCCATCTTTGGCAGATTAGGTTGCTGAAACCTTATCTCTTCCCCCCCCCCAGACTTGGCTTCAGTGACCCATGCAGTGGTCACTTCCAGGCTTGACTACTGTAATTCGCTCTATGCAGGCTTACCCTTGAGGCTGACCCGGAAATTACAGCTGGTGCAAAATGCAGCAGCGCACCTGTTAACGGCGACGCCTATGCAGGCTCACATTTGGCAGGTGCTCTGCCAATTGCATTGGTTACCAGTAGAGTTCCAGATCCGCTTCAAGGTATAACCTTTAAAGCCTTACATGGCCTGGGACCAACATATCTGAAGGACCGCCCGTATATGCCCTGAAGAGCACTACGCGCTTTGGATCAATACCTCCTGGTAGTCCCTGACCCGAAAGATATCCATCTTGCCTCAACCGGGGCCATGGCTTTCTCCACCCTGGCCCCTGTCTGGTGGAACATGCCCCCCACTGAAATCAGGGCCCAGCAGGATCTATTTCAGTTCCACAGGTCCTGCAAGACGGAACTGTTCCGCCAGGCCTTTGGCTGAGGCAGCAGACATCCATATATGGCCTCCCTGAGGTGTTTGTCACTCTGTTAACAACTATTGGCTATGGCCAGGAACCTCCCACAAGCAGAAATTTTCTTTTGTTATTAGCTGTGACCACCATTTTAATATTTATGATGATGTTTTACATTTTAATTTTATTACATTAATATATTTTGTATAAATGATATGTTGTTACCTGCCCTGTGCCCGCTTCTGGGAAGGGCGGGCTATAAATTTGAATAAATAAATAAGTATTCTATTGCTTACCTTTAAAGGGCCATACTTGAAGTATTATTTTTCTCAGTATGAATTTGTGACAGCACCATTCAACACACACCCATCTTTTGCCCCACCCCCAGACACATCAAGTTGACATCAGCTGCTGCCTGCTCATGGGCTTTTTCAGTGGCTGTACCTGTTTTATGGAATGGCCTTCCAGAAGAATGGAGGAGAGGCTCTATTCTGATGACATTACAAAGGGATGGAAAGCAGCTTTTAAAGAGAGTTTGGGGGGGGGGGTTGGAAGATCTGAGAGCTTGGATAAGTTCTCCTTGCATTCTTTCTGAGCATTGTTCAGTCCAAAGAGTGGCATAAGTGATTTTTAACTTACCTCACTTTATCCCTCAAGTGGCTCTACAACATCCTCCCCTCCTCCATTTTATCCTGTGAGGTACGTTAGGCTGAGAATGTATGCCTGGCCCAAGGTCACCCAGAGAGCTTCTATGGCAGAGTGGGGATTTGAACCTGATTTGAACTTCACAGAATACAGCACTCTTAACCACTACACCACACTGGCCATTATACTTTGCTGGCTGTTTGATGGATCTTATTTTAATGCGCATGTTATTTTGCCTATTTGTTTTTATTTGTGCTGATTGTTTTTGTTCTTGTTACCATCTTGGGTATCAGTTGCTGGGAGAATGGTGGGCTGACAAGTATTTCAAATAAATGAAGTTTACTTTCAAGAAAACCCATATTTAAAACCTAAACAGGAATATCGATCACTTTCTTTCTTTATGAATTTTGGTTTGCTTTTAAACATATAGGAAAGCTAAACCCAACTCCAGACTACTGCAGCGGAGTCAGAGTAAAAGCTGAATCCCAAGGATACACAGCACTTGTAGTTAGCTATACACACGGTCATCTTCACCTCCGTGCGAGTATCACCATAGCTGCCCATCTACCACTCAAAGTAAGTCTGTGGCTTTTTTTCTAATTCTTAAATCTAATCTGATGCAAGGTAAATAGTTGAGTTGACCAAAAATATATTAGAGATAGGTCCTTTTATTCTATGAAAAAGCTTTTTACAAAAAATTATCTTTCTTATAGTAACATTTGCTATCTGCATTACCACCATCCATACAAAGAAAGCTGTGCTCAGATTATTGCCAAATTCCCCACAGTGATCCAGGTACCATCTTTTAAAAAAAGAACAGTATTATGTTGAAAGTAGCTGAAAATAAGCCCATCAGTGCTAAGTATGTTTTCCTAGTAGAGCTCTCATACATTTCAGTCCAATGCAATCCAAGTATTTTTGCTTAGGATCACAGCAGTAACATGAATTTAAACTATCAGTTTTCTGACATGGAACAAAACAATTTGTGGTAGCCCCAGACCTCAACACACATTGGCCTTTTTCTCCCATAGGTAGGTTACTTCAGAATAATCATAAAACCTTTATTATTAATAGGAAAATTTATCAGACGCATGAATTACAAGAATCAGATTTCAGGATTCTTGAAACAGACTGATAGAATGTGTACCAAAATGTGGGATCAGTTGTCTGATGTTACAGACCCCCATGTTACAGCCCCCCAAAGAAGGTGCCCCCAGGAACGAGCTTTCTGGGAAATGACAGGAACGGGTTCAGGAGTGGATAGAATGGATCCTGTGCAAGCTAGAGATATCAAAGTTGTAGGGGACCTCCCTCAGATACTCCTCTACATGCCTTCCAAGCTATGTTGCTTTGAAGTCTGGTAAACATTTTGATTACGCGGAGGCTTTCTGGAAATGTATCCATTCACAAACTGTCATGAACAGCTTGGAAGTTCATGGAAAGGTCATGCTGGTTGACCTGCTACGGACTTAAGTTCACAAACCACGAACCGCCCAAAATTCATCACAAACTTTAGTTCGTGCCCGTCCCTCGTTCTGACAAGGTTCTTGCACTGAATTCATCCTATAGTTTGCAGCATTTAATCTATATCTTTTTTTCTAGACAATTGATCCTACATCTGTTGCATTGGTAACTTTGGGTTCCTCCAAAGAGATAATATTTGAAGGAGGATTGAAGCCATGGGTTCAAGAACCATCGAAATTCTTCAGGAATGTCAGTGCTGCAGATCCAAGTGCCATTGGTTTATTCTTACTAGGGTCAGCCACAAATAGGAATCCCTTCCAGCATTGGGTTAGGGCATCTTGCAAAGCTTTGGGAGAACAAGTAAGTACAACAGATAAGTGTGATAAATCATCTTGGACTATAGCCAAGACTCTCAAGTATTACGTTGCATAGAGTATGAAATTTAAATACATAAATTAGTTCCTGCTGTTTCCACATTCATTTGAATCTGATACCACTCCCGAGATACAAGCATTCTTAAATTGTGAACAGTGCAGGTCCTCCTTGTGTCAGGAATGGTGTTAAAAGCTTTCAGTGCATTTCCTAAGTACAAGGACATTGGTTTTTTCCAGAGATTATTGAAGTCAGGAGGTTTGACAAGATTTGTTTGTGTATTTTTATTTATTATTATATTTCTATCCCGCCTTCCCCGCGAACGGGCTCAGGGCGGCTCACAGTTTAGGGCACAATGTGCCCAATATAAAAACATATAACAAAATAAAACAACCATATTTTACAGTTAAAGTGCTCAGTGATGTTAGTCCTTCAATCAGATTCAGATGGCATATAAATTTAAATATTTTACTCTGCTTTTCTCTTGTAGTGGAGACTCAAACTGGCTTACATAATAAAATGTACAACAAAATCCACAACTAACTAAATTTATGCAACTTAAAAGGCCCTTAGTACACTCTTGAAGTTAATTAAAGGCTGTTCTGGGCTGGTTCCACCAGCATGGCTCAAGAGCCATCAGCTAAGAGCTGGAAGTCTTTCGGCTGTTGCTATTTAGTTGGTACCTTTGGCAAGCTCAGGCTTCCAATACCTGGAAAATGAGAGGGTAGAGGTGCAACCCAGGTCTTATTCAGCTGGCTCAGGTGCTTCCGGTTTCCTCTCTATTTTAGTTCTTTGTTAAAATATGCAGAATTGTAAGACAGCTAAGATTTTTGTGTTCTTTTTAAAACAGTAGACACTTGCACATCTGTCTATGTGAATATGCTCAAGATAGGGTTGCCAAGTGCTTTTTGAGCCGCAGTGGGGGACTCCCAGCTGGCGGCTGGAGTGCGCGCCCCCTGCACGCACATCACCTGGAAGTGATGTGACGTCACCGGGCATGCTGGGGGCAGGGCCACGGCCATCCGAGGGAAAACCATAGAGTTTTCCCTCGGATGACGGTGGCCCCGCCCCCGGCGTGGTCGCGTCACTTCCGGGTGACGTGCATGTCGGGGTGGGGTTCCCCCCGGGGCCCGATCCGCCGCCGGCGGGGGATGGGCCCTTGGGGCCGGGGTTTCCCCGCCCCCCCGGGGGAACTTGGCAAGCCTAGCTCAAGATCAGAGATAGCTAGGTATATTTATAAACAATTTTTGTTTGTTGTTCCACTCCCAAATTTTGTTTGTTGTCTACTTCACTTTCAGTCTAAAATGCCGAAAGTGTTATACAACTTCATTTTTAAAAGACTAACAAGCAGCAAAAAAAGAATATTACAACAGCAGTTTAAAAGCTCTAGTTGCCCTCATTCAGCCCATTATTGACTCCAGATAACTGTTCAGAATGTTCACAGTCAGGTGTGAACTTTATATAATGGAAAAGTAGAGCTAGGTGTGGTTGGGATAATAATCACACTTACTCCACAACTCTATATGTTTTTGTTTCATATGGTTGTTAAACAGCATAATAGATGGGTTTCTGACTATGCAGTTCCAAAAGATGCTGTTGGTCTACTCCATTGTGCTATAAATCCCATGGAGCAGACTAGCCATACCCTAGCACCATCTTTTGGAACTGCTCATTCAGAAACCAAACTGCCAGAGGGGGAGCCGCTGTTTCCATACACACGCACACACACACACTATTCCACTCCAAATTAGGGGTGTGCAACCCCCCCCAAAAATCTTGATATTTTACAGGTTCGGGTATATTGAACCCAAAAATATCAGTATTTCCCGATATTCCTGAATCCCAGTATTGGTATGGTATTTGGATTCAGGAAATATTCGGGAAACCTGAATTTATTTCGGCTCCAGTATACTGTATGGGGACCATTATAGTCAACCCACCCACCCCCAAGTCTCAGAAAGATTGGGCCAGGGGTTCCAGTTCTATGGACCCGTAAAGAAGGTACCCCCATTCTCCATTGGTTTCACTTTAAAAAGGCATTTAAAGCGATTGTGGTCTGCTTAAATGCCTTCCCCAAGCCACGCAACGCTGTGGCCTGAAGAACTCTGAAGGTGTTTAAAGGGCCCGTAGTCCGTTTAAACGGCTTCTGGGTGAACTCACCAGCCCAGGATCACCTGGAGTGGCAGGATCTCTCCATCCTAACTGTCTTCTACTTTCTTCTGTTTTCTGTTCTTAATAAATGGCTGGTGCTTAACATTCACTACAAAAGAATGATCTGACATAGTTTTTGGACAGTATCATTTACAATCATGTAGGTTGTTTTGTAAATTCTGTCTTTTAAGGGTTGATGTAACCTTCATAAAGGGATTGACACATTGCTTAAATGACTTTCCACAACTAATACAGTGTTCACCTCCCTTTGTCCCCAGTTCAGAAGAAATAAACTAGAGCACACAATTCCTTTTTTCCTTAGTATTATATAAAAGGTATGTTAAACAATAACAAGCATCACATCAGGCATAGTCCATGGTGTAGTCTTTCTAGTGAGTCATTCTTTGATCTCCTGTGCAATCACCACTGAAGTCAATAGAGGCTATACAATAGCAGTATTTGAAAAAATATGTATTTTTTAAGATAGCTAATTCCACAGTGTACATAGAGCCTACAATAATTTGTAATATGCAGTGGGCTGTTATTTTATCAGAATATCACCTACTTTGGTTCTGATAGAAAATGAAAAGGTTTTGAGCATTAAGCATAAATTATTGACTCCCAAAGAAGTCACAAGTGTGTCTGCATGCCAGTTGCCTTTCTGGTTCATTTTTCTTGAAAAAAAGAAGAAAGATAACTGTCATCTGTTTTCAGAATCTTGAAAGCTTAATTTTTGTTTTGCAATGAAAAGTTGGATAAAATAGCAATAAAGTATGAGAATGTGTGCTTTGATAATGGACTGGAACTGCTTCTGAAAATAAATGTCAAAATGATACATCTGTATCCATCAGCAGTGCAGGTTATTACTGGAGCATAAAGTCATGTTAGGTTAATGTTTCTTCTTTAAAAACTACGCAGTAAAAAAGATTGCATTATACTATGTATAACTGTACAATAAGTGTTCCTAAACAGTACTCATTTTCTCTTTTACTTATTGTCTCATATTTTAATGTAGGTAATTTCATTAACAATTGGAAACAAGCCCACTATTACTAATCCATTTCCAGTAGTTGAATCTGCAGTTATGAGGCTGATTTGTGCCACTCCCTCCCGATTCAGTTTGGTACCTGTATATGCAAATCCTCAGCTAGGTCTCTCCTGTCCTTTGCTCCCTCAAAACAAACAAGGGGTAAGTGTCAGGAACACCCTCCTCAGGCTATGGTATGAGACTCTTTCTATATTACAGTAGCTGTGAGGTGTTAATTTGAATTATTTATTGGGTTTTTTTTTTTACTGTTTTGCTATGGCTTTGAACTAATGCAATGAAATGAATTTATGTGAACTTGTTAATTTGAAATATATTTTGTTCAAAGATGGAAGCTTGACTGGGCCAGCCTGGGACCCAAATCTGTGTCGACTAGCATGAGGAAGTAGCTTGATTTATTATTTATTGATTTCATTTATAGTGTGCATTACGCACTGTCTCAAGATTATACATATTTTCTTTAAAAAGTAACAAAACTATTAAAACACATACAATAAACAGCACAATTCTGTACATCCTGTGTAACACTAAAAGGAAGGTAGCTTTAGTGGATACCACAGCACAGAATGTCCAGGTACAGGCAACTGCTGATCTTACCCATTTGCAGGGTGGCAGCTTCAAGCAGACTTTTCATAGATGGATGAAGCTGTCATTGCAGAGCATATTGGGAGAAGCAGTCTTGCACACATGCAATCCCTAGTCTATAGCTTCATTCTATGATGCTGTACTGATTTAAAGCAGTTTTCCTACAAGGAACAACTTTCTGTCAACTTTTGAGGTATTATTCACAAACATGATATGTGTTGGAAAATAAAGGCAGTTGGATTAAAATGCAGAAAAATGGCTTATGTTTGGTGACTTCATGCAGAAATATTCTTCCAAGACTCTGTTTTTCTTTTGTTTATAAATGAAATTATTTATCTTTCAGGTTCCTGTCTCAAATTACCGCAATCCAGTATTGGATTTGGAGGCTTATGATCAACAGGGGCGTAAATTTGACAATTTTAGTTCCCTTAGTATCATCTGGGAATCAAGAAAACATTCATTAGCTAGCATAGAATCCAATATGCCAATGGAGCTGTCCTTGAAAGATCATGGAAATGGTCAGAAGAAAATGCATGGTACAGTTTCCATTAAATTACACATTCAGTTTGTTTGGGATTGGTTGAATTGATCATACTTGATGACATTTGTGTTATGTCCAAAACCCACATTTCGGTCCAGGAGCTGATGTGATAGACAATAAAACCTGCTTTTAAGCATTAAAAAAGAATATTTAAAGGTATATCAAAGAGAAAATATGCACACAATTTAACTTCGAAGACCAGTTGCGTTCCACACAGGTGATAATCAAATAGTAAATGCAATAACTTCGAAGACCAGTTGCGTTCCACACACTAACGTGCTGTTCATGCAGGTGATAATCAAATAGTAAATGCAACTTTTTCAGTTTTTCTGGGGCATTTTGTTTGTTTCTTTGTTTTAGGTTTGCAAACTGTTTTAGTTCACGGTGAATCTGGAACAACAACTCTATCAGCTACTGCAAGTGGATATCAGCATTCTCATCTCAATGCTGCTAAAGTAAATAATCTGGTAATGCAATTTTGCTCTATTTTCCCCTAGACTGTCCTAATGAGGTATATATACTATAGTCATTTTCTTAGAATATCTTTGTATATTTCGGTAGCTTTTTGAGAAAATAATCATACTACAGACTTTTATGGGCCTTTCCAGAAGACAGAACCACTCAAATACATTTTTAGCACCCAAAGTGCCCTTGCTCTCTCTAAATTAATAATATGGATTCTCTTAAAGTCTCTGAATACAGGATTGGCACAAAAGAACTTCTGTGGTTTCATGTATTAGAGAAATGCTTTTATGTCTTTCATATTAAATTTCATCACTACTGCAGCTGGCCCTGGCCAGGATTATATTTATTATGTATTGTGGAGGAATTTAAGTAATTCAACTTGTACAATCGTAAATGCAATATTGGCTACAATCTAATGAGTTGTGATAGCCCAGTGGGACTTTTACCTTGTTTATATAACTGCAGCCCTTATTCCCAACAAAATCCATGCCTCATTACAAGCTCTCTTGAGTTTCTTAAACTGGTTCTCATTGGTTAAATTCAGGTGGGCAGCCGTGTTGGTCTGAAGCAGCAGAACAAAGTTTGAGTCCAGTAGCACCTTTAAGACCAACAGAGTTTTATTCAAGGTATTAAATAAAACTCTGTTGGTCTTAAAGGTGCTACTGGACTCAAACTTTGTTCTCATTGGTTAAGTTAGTGTTAAAATTATTTAAAAGATGAATTGTTTTAAATAAAGGAGGAAAAGAGTTAAGACATGTTGCATACAAGGATCAAGGCAAGGACAAATGCTCCACAATTTAGTTTATTTGTTCTATTTTTTGTACAGGGAGAACACATTTGTCCTTGAATGTCAAGGATTTAGGTTTCTGTACAACTAAGCTGCAGTATAGAATTTGCTTCCTGGCATAGTGTAGTGTTGCAACTCTGACCAATAGACTGTGTCCCTTACTGAATTAACAAATGTGCCTCATCTTTAGAGATAATTTGGCCATTTAGTGTTATACTGTCACAAGCACCTGCAGCCTCAAACTGGGTCTCTGGCTACTTAACCCAGACAAGTCCCCCTGGGTTCCTCCTTGGCCTCTGGATATGTAAGCTTCCTACCCTGGTGGCCTATTCCCTGCCTCCCTTTGGGTTGCTCCCTTTAACTTCACTATCCTCCTCTAGAACCTGCCCTGCTGCCCAACTAGAGGCCCTACTGGGACATGGGACACCTTCAGGGCTAAGCTCTCTGGGTTGCCCCCTCCTTCCACAATCTCTCACCTTCCTGGCTTGCTGCCAGATCTGCCATCATCTGGAGTTCTCTCCGGCCTCTTCCCTAGTCACCCCTGTACCTGGCTGCAGGAGGGCCAGGGAGAAGTTGACATAAAGTTGATCCCAATTCAGGAACATTGGGTCAAGATCTGCATGTACAACATCCTTTCTGTTCCCAGTGGCATCTCATCCTATGCTGCAAGCCAACCTGCTGTTTAAATAAGACTTGCACAAGTGCATAGAGAATCTCTCTAGAATGGGCCAGATGCATGAAGGCATCATTATGTGCGGGGGGAGGGAGGGGCAATTCACTCTCAGAGAGAGAAGGTAATTGTGGGTCCATGGCCTATTAGGGAGCGAGCGTGTGGAAGGAAAACACAACCAGACATTTTTGGAATAAAAATGGCCACAGCTTTATTAGCACAGCATAGGGACTGATCCAGTATCAGACAACCCGCCTTTTGCCCAATAAACCCATCCCCCCAGCTCATCTCCGGGGGGTAGGGAACAATAGAATGACAATTCCTGCCCTCTGAGTGGTTCCCCTTGCTACCTGGTAGTAAGAGCCAGACAACAGCCCCCAGTCTGGGCATGCTACATGATGGCTCCACACCCAAGACCCCTTAAGGGAATCCCCAACCAGAGGAGGTAGCCACGCAGGCCCAGCCTTCACAAAATGGATCCATCCCAATACCCAACCTGCTGAAGCCTTGAAAAATATAGAGCACGAAAACACCATTTATAACATAATGTGAGGAAGGGTGGGTGGGAGAGAGTTGAAGAAAAACAGGAGGAGGCACCCCGCAGCAGCCATTTAAATAGTGGCAGGGACAGCTGATGTGATTTGCATGTCAATGCTCCTCCTCAGGGATACCCCTTGCACATAGGCTGGCTGCTGCTGATGGAACTGGTCAGCCAGCCCAACACCACTGGGCATGAAACCAGTTCCCTCTTTGCAAATTGACACAAGGCAGACAGAAAAACACCTTTCTAGGTTAGTCTCCTGGCCTGGGCCACAAATTCAGCCCTGGTAAGTCGGGTTCCTTGATTGTTCATCCTGTCCCAGTATACAGGAGTACTGAAAGAAGCCACATATTTGAGCATACTTTGCTCGTTCATGCAATAAAAGCAAACCAGTATTTGTAATATAACTGCTTTGTGACCCAATAACTGATCCTTACTTCATGTAGAGCATGAATGCAAGTTGGCTGCATTCCATTATGGCTCATGCATTTCGGTCTGCTCAACCTAGAGGAAGTTGACAAATTGCTCCTGTCTTCCCTACCTCCTGCTCCCTTGATCCATGCCCTTCGTGGCTAATTAAAGCTGGCCACGAGGGGTTTTGAGGTGCCTTGTGGGAGATTATCAACAAGTCCCTCTCAGAGGGACTGTTCACTGAGGCACTTAAGGAAGCAGTGGTCTTGAAAAAGCCATTTTTAGACCCGGCCGAATTGGCCAACTACCAGCCGATCTCTAACTTGCCCTATTTGGGCAAGATGATAGAGAGGGGAGTGGCAGTTCAGCTACAGGGCTTTTTGGATGACGCTTCCATTTTAGATACCTCCCAGTCTGGCTTTCACCAGGCTATGGGATGGAGACGGCACTGGTTGCCGTCAAAGACAACCTCCAGGCATCTTGATTGAGGCAGATCGGCAGTGCTGTTGCTGTTGGAGCTGTCTGCAGCATTCAACACAATCGACCATCAGCTACTGATCCACCACTTCACGGACATTGGAATTCAGAGGCTGGCCTTGCAGTGGCTTGCCTCCTTTCTCCAAGGTCGGGGACAAAAGGTGATACTAGGGGAACAACTATCCCAGAGATACCCACTGGATTGTGGTGTACCTCAAGGGGCAGTGCTGTCCCAGATGCTTTTCAACATCTATATGCGTCCCCTTGCCCAGATTGCCTGGAGCCATGGGCTGGGTGGTCACCAGTAACCAGATGATACCCAGGTCTATCTGTTGTTAAGCGGTCAGTCCGACAACATATCTGGACTGGGTGTCCCTTATGCTTTTCAACATCTATATGCGTCCCCTTGCCCAGATTGCCCAGAGCCATGGGCTGGGTTGTCACCAGTAACCAGATGATACCCAGCTCTATCTGTTGTTGAGCGGTCAGTCCGACAAAATATCTGGACCGGGCACTACAAGCCATGGCTAGTTGGCTTAGGCTGAGCCGACTGAAACTGAATCCGACGAAGACGGAGGTCCTGTGCCTGAGTCAGAGCAGGCCGGGGTTAGGGATCCTGCTCCCAACCTTCAATTGGGCACTATTGGTGCCAGCACTGGAGGTTAGGAGTTTGGGAGTGCTCCTGGATGCCTCCTTAACTATATAATTGACTGCAGGATTGTATCCACAGATCTTTGTGTAGAGCAAGGCAAGTATATAATTTTGTGGTGCTATTAATGTACATAGTGATTTACTAAGCAGCTCTTAAGAGACAAAAGGAAAGACCTCTGCCCAGTTTTTTACCAGTAGGCAAGAAGGGAAGGGAGGGAAAAGGAGGAGAGCGAGGAAAGTAGGCAGATGAATTGATAATGTGTAACTAACATAAGGAATTAATTAAGTATAAATTTTCATTAGAGCTCAAGTAGGAGACATGATCAGATGTTAGATAAATGTATGTCTGTGAGTAATATCAATGTAACTAATATCATTCCAACGCCAGCTGAAAAATGGGTTTGTTTTGCTGGGACATACTGAAATACACTCCATAGCCATTAGGGAAATTCAGGGATGACAAAGTTAGAATACCAAAGTAGCTGTCCCTGTGCTGATGTTTTAAAGGTAGGTGGGGAAAGGAAGAAGCAAAAGGGTTGTGATTGTGTGACATTGCGGAATGAGCAGAGGGTAGGGATGGAAGCCTATGGAAGCCGAGGTTAAAAAGCTTTTTATTTTCAACAGTTAAAGAAGGCTGTTTGTAGTAGGAATTCTTGCATTAGCTTAGCTGTAGTGTCATTTTGGGTTATTTTATTATTTTTAGAAGGGTTTCACGGTTTTGTACTTTGACTTATTTTGCAAGCAACCTTGGAATTTATAGAAGGCAGGTCAGTGCTCCTCACAAAATCTGTGCTGGCAATCTCACTCAAATTATATATAAGGTTTCAGTGGTGTAAACTATGAGATTTCAGTGGTGTAAACCCTTTAACAATAAGACAGATTTTTAGTTTCCCAAAACTATGCTGGGTGTCCCCACATGGTACTTCAGCTGCATTGTTATGTGCAGAAACTAACTTCCATTGAGGAAAGAGCACATAAAGCATTCCTATTCCTGCTGCAGTGGGAAAGTTTGCAAAAGAAAGCTGAAAATCAGCACCCTAAGAAATATCTGTAGAAACACGTTGCTTAGAAGACTTGGGATTAGCAGGATGAAAGCCATATGCAAGATTACCATCCGTATGTAACTATATTAACGACAGCAGAACAGGGACAGTAAAAGTATTATACAAGATGGGAGGAAGCGTTCAGCCTATCCAGTTCTCTTACTGGTGCTCCCTTCTTAAGATGGATCATGTGCAGCAGAGTTATTTTAAAGAACTCAACACACTGCTGAATCAGGAAAGCCTTCCTCCAGTTATGCTTTCAGACAGTACAACTGGCTTGTTTAAATGGCAGAGCCAGTAAAATTTCAGCTATATACATTGAGAACTGAGGAACAGTTGAAAATTTAGATCAATGCATCTTACAGTGCCTTTTGTACAGGGATCCCCATAGAGGCCTTTCTTTCAAGCCTGTTCAGTACAACCAGTGGGCTAATGGGTTTAGAAAGCTGTGTTATCTGAAAAGATTGTACTTTTTGCTGTAGTGGCTGAGAAAATCAACTAAAGCATGTGCTCTTTTTCTGTCTCAGATAAAATAGCCATCATAACAACCTTCTTCTGTATTAGTTGGATCCAATATAACATATCCGCATGCAATTTCTGTAAGCAGAAGTGTTTCTGTAAGCAGAAGAAAAACAAAAAGCCTTGCAGACTGCTTTTACTAAGTGTGAATCATATTAAAACTGCTGTTTGTGTGAGCACAAGATATTACACAAGGTGCCCCTCATATTAGATGCTTAAGCTATGGAGTATATTGAGTTGCACTAGGTCTTGGGCAAGCTCCTATGCAGTGGGAAAGTTTGCAAAAGAAAGCTGAAAATCAGCACCCTAAGAAATATCTGTAGAAACACGTTGCTTAGAAGACTTGGGATTAGCAGGATGAAAGCCATATGCAAGATTACCATCCGTATGTAACTATATTAACGACAGCAGAACAGGGACAGTAAAAGTATTATACAAGATGGGAGGAAGCGTTCAGCCTATCCAGTTCTCTTACTGGTGCTCCCTTCTTAAGATGGATCATGTGCAGCAGAGTTATTTTAAAGAACTCAACACACTGCTGAATCAGGAAAGCCTTCCTCCAGTTATGCTTTCAGACAGTACAACTGGCTTGTTTAAATGGCAGAGCCAGTAAAATTTCAGCTATATACATTGAGAACTGAGGAACAGTTGAAAATTTAGATCAATGCATCTTACAGTGCCTTTTGTACAGGGATCCCCATAGAGGCCTTTCTTTCAAGCCTGTTCAGTACAACCAGTGGGCTAATGGGTTTAGAAAGCTGTGTTATCTGAAAAGATTGTACTTTTTGCTGTAGTGGCTGAGAAAATCAACTAAAGCATGTGCTCTTTTTCTGTCTCAGATAAAATAGCCATCATAACAACCTTCTTCTGTATTAGTTGGATCCAATATAACATATCCGCATGCAATTTCTGTAAGCAGAAGTGTTTCTGTAAGCAGAAGAAAAACAAAAAGCCTTGCAGACTGCTTTTACTAAGTGTGAATCATATTAAAACTGCTGTTTGTGTGAGCACAAGATATTACACAAGGTGCCCCTCATATTAGATGCTTAAGCTATGGAGTATATTGAGTTGCACTAGGTCTTGGGCAAGCTCCTACACAAGTGAAACAATGCAAAACTTTTTTTTTTACTCAGGCATCATTGGATCCAAGTCTATATTTTTGAGGCTTTGTCATAATATGTATGGTCACCCCTGTAAAATCTTTTAGGTAATACTGTTGAAGAATATTGTTCTGTTATCACCTACGTTTAAAGCAAGTAAATTGAGGTGAATTAAGCTATATTAAACTAGAGTTAGTCTTTGAGTGGATCCTGTCCTGAAATTACAACTAATATCCAGACTACAGATATCACTTCTCCTGGAAGAAATGGCAGCCTCGGAGAGCAGTCTCTATGGCATCACATTCCCGCTGAGCTCCCTGTCCTTCCCAAACTGCACCCTCTCCAGGGACCACTCCCAAATCTCCAGGAATTTCTCAAGCTAGAGTTTGGCAACCCTAATTGTAGCTTTTCTTCTCTCTTACAAAAAAAACCAAGATTACACAAATGATTAAGAAACAAAATTACTTACAGGGACAAAGGTGTGCTGCATACCGGTTCTTCAGAAAATAGGCCTTTTTGTTCTAAAAAAAGCTTTGTTAATTGCAAATTGTCTTGGTCTCAAAGCCTGGCCCTTTTCAGTCAGTTGACCATTGAGCTGCTGTTTGTGTAGAGGCCAAAGGGAAGGTGGGGTATAAATGTTGCAATAAAATACAAATGTAATTTGTGTATAATGTCTTACTAGTTATTTAATTCAACTGCTGTTTGTTGATGGACTTCCTTTATTTCTTTCAGTATGAATCTCTTACACCTGTGTCTGCCACTATTGAGCTGATACTTGTGGAAGATGTAAAAGTTAGCCCTAAAGAAGTGACACTCTATAATCACCCAGCTGTTAAGGTAGGGAATGAAATCTGCATGTTCTATTTTAATTAAGAAAATAAGTGGTCTGTGGGAAAATGTAAATTAAACAATATGTACCTTCATTGGCAGGCTGAACTGCTTGTTAAGGAGGGCTCTGGATACTTTTTCATTAATACAAGTGTTATCGATATAGTTAAAGTGACCTATGAAGAAGCCGAAGGTGTTGCTGTGGTGAGTACTATAATGATAGCAACTTCTCAGCTGTGGGGCAGGGGGAGAGAGAGAGAGATTTTAAATAGTTATTTTTCTAGAGCAAATTGCTTAGGTCCATAAATCACGCTCATTAAAATGAAAAAGTAATCTCAACATTTCAAAAGAGATACCTAGTTACCTTAATTGCCTGTAGTTTTCCAAGAACATTTCCCTTACAAATGCAACTGGAATTAATAGAAGGTATGTAAGGCTTCTGTGCTTTATTTCACAGAGGCTTCGGTACAAATGTTCCTAGGGCTCTCAGTGCAGCGTATTACTGTTAGGGCAACCTTCTAAACCATTTTGGAGTGAGGAGACAAACCTCAAACTGTCTGCCACTATGTTATGTCTGAGAAATACAGCATTTTCCTGTCTTCCTCTGATTGGTTTCTGTCTCAATCATGTATAAATCCATCCTTAGTCAATGTATGTCCTGTTCTAGTCAACAAAACCAATAAAAATGTCATTTAGGAATACATCTGTGGCAGACAGGTGAGGTTCCATATTTCCCTAAGAGCAACCAGTGGGTGCTGACTGAATGCTGGTGAGGGAGACAGTTAAAAAGAACCTTTAGTGCTGTTGAGAGTCTGGCTGAGTGAAGCTGTGGAGAAGAGCAGCTTAATAGTAACTGGGAAAAGGCCAAATTGTAACAAAGAAACTCACTCTTGAAGAAGGGAAATAGTTCAAAAGTTCAACTGAAAAGCAACTTTGTAATTTCTATCCCATCAATTTTATATTCAAACCAGAAATAAAAGTTAACTCCTTGTTTGGTTAATGCTGTGGGCTAGATGTATGGTCTCAGGGTAAGAAGCACACAGATCTCAACCTAAATATAAATATGTATAATAGCTTAACGGTAAATAGTGGCAACATGTGAACGAAATAGTGTTTGAGTCTCTAACCCCAGTAGCTCTTGCAGTTTTGGAGTGAGGGATGATTATTTTATGTTTTGTATTTTTGCATTTGTGTGTGTGCATGGGCATGTGCCCATGCCGGGAAGTCACGGCGACCTCTGGTGTGGCAACTCCTACTGTGGCATGGAGGACATTCAGAGAAGTGGCTTGATAGCCTGGCTCTTCCTCCCAGCCCTGGTATTCTTTGGAGGTCTCCTATCCAAATACTTGCCAGGGTTGGCCCTGCTTAACATCTGAGAATCTGATTAGATGGAGTGAGGGGTGATTATTAAAGGGAACTAGGCTATCCTGTCTGGCAATGTCTCTGTAAGTAAGATAGAGGACCTGGTAGGTGAAATGGTCATGACTCTCTATATTTTAAAAGAGGAAAGGAGTGGTGAGCTGTGACTGCCTGACCTACCTGTAACCTTGTCAATAAAAATGTCATTTAGGAATATATCTGTGGCAGACAGGTGAGGTTCCACATTTCCCTAAGAGCAACCAGTGGGAGCTGACAGAATGCTGGTGAGGGAGACAGTTGAAAAGAACCTTTAGTGCTGTTGAGAGTCTGGCTGAGTGAAGCTGTGGAGAAGAGCAGCTTAATAGTAACTGGGAAAAGGCCAAATTGTAACAAAGAAACTCACTCTTGAAGAAGGGAAATAGTTCAAAAGTTCAACTGAAAAGCAACTTTGTAATTTCTATCCCATCAATTTTATATTCAAACCAGAAATAAAAGTTAACTCCTTGTTTGGTTAATGCTGTGGGCTAGATGTATGGTCTCAGGGTAAGAAGCACACAGATCTCAACCTAAATATAAATATGTATAATAGCTTAACGGTAAATAGTGGCAACATGTGAACGAAATAGTGTTTGAGTCTCTAACCCCAGTAGCTCTTGCAGTTTTGGAGTGAGGGATGATTATTTTATGTTTTGTATTTTTGCATTTGTGTGTGTGCATGGGCATGTGCCCATGCCGGGAAGTCACGGCGACCTCTGGTGTGGCAACTCCTACTGTGGCATGGAGGACATTCAGAGAAGTGGCTTGATAGCCTGGCTCTTCCTCCCAGCCCTGGTATTCTTTGGAGGTCTCCTATCCAAATACTTGCCAGGGTTGGCCCTGCTTAACATCTGAGAATCTGATTAGATGGAGTGAGGGGTGATTATTAAAGGGAACTAGGCTATCCTGTCTGGCAATGTCTCTGTAAGTAAGATAGAGGACCTGGTAGGTGAAATGGTCATGACTCTCTATATTTTAAAAGAGGAAAGGAGTGGTGAGCTGTGACTGCCTGACCTACCTGTAACCTTGAACCTCTATGACAGAAGATGTGGAGTGAGAAATGCCATCTCTGAGGGAAAAACAGAATGGACAAATAATCTCCTTGTAAATTGGAAAGACTGTATTTTAAACAACATTTAAAAATGTTTTATTCTCAAATTAGTGCATACAAGTCTCCCACTTCAAATATCAAAAGACTGGGTTTAATTCAAGCTCTAATTTAATCCACTACACCTGATTTTCCTCTGGCTTCAAGGGTGAAATTAGACTGAATTTTTAAAGGGTTGTATTACAGCATGATATATCTGATTTTGCCATTTGTAAAGAAATGGCTGTGCTGAAGTATTGTGATAGCTGAAGCTGTAGGAAATGTTTTGATGACATTACAGAAAATTACTTTGTATAACAAAAATAACATTCTGATTAATCGCTTTTGTTAAAATATTACATTTATTTTTTATGAAGGAGAGGGGCCATCAACTTATGTGTAATCATTAAGAGTAAAATGATCACTCTTCTGTCTTCATAGGTAGCTAATTCTGCCGCAAATTAAAATTCTGAACCCTAAAGTGCATGATTTACATACACGTTACGGCTTTTTTAAAGTTCTTCTTTAAAAGGTGTTATTTTTTTCCTGCATAATATGCATTTTTCATCTTACTAATATCAGGGGAGAACACTGGTCTAGAAGAGAACCCACTGCATTTGGTCTGTTAATGCAGTTTCTTCCTCTAGACCTTTTGTGCTAATTCCGTAATACAAGACTGTTAAATGTATCTTAAAGCTGTACTTGGAGGAGACAGTTCTCATTCAGTGGGAAAATCTTAATGCAGTTCTGTTTCAGACTCAATGGTCTTCCTGTAAAAATACTAAGTTGTTATAGGAAACTATTAAATGACAGGGGGAGGGGGTTATTTTATTGGTTTTATGTAATTTTATCATGTATATTTGAAATTGTTGGCTGCCTTGGTGGCCCTTGTAAGGGCAGAATGGTGGTTTATAAATGTAAATAAATAATACATTTAATTAAGAATTACATTTTTGTATATTCTTTTCCCATGTTTAAGGTATACCCATTACTTCCAGGGTCATTGTCTGTAATGATTCAGGATTTGTGTCTTTCCTCTTCTTCACTTTCTAAAGCTGAAGTATATGTGTCTGATATACATGAAGTATATGTTGGTGGTGTTGATAAGGTTAGTATATTTCCAAGTAATTTTATTATTGGTTATATTTGATGAGGTGGAGTACCACACATACATTTCTAAGATTTCTAAAAAGAGAATTATTGAGAGCTCATTGAACATAGTGCCAGAGACTGAGTTAGGAACTCCATAGGTGGGATTTTATCCAAACTGATATTTCTGCATCTTTCATCAGAAGAAGATAGCAGTACCGATGTATCTTACATATTTTTGGTAAACCGTTTAAGAGCCAGGCTCTGTACTGGGTAATGTTGGATTGCTACCAGGAAGGCTGGATTCAAATCTTTATTCTCCCACAGAGCAGCTCATTGAGGCTGCAAGCCTAAGAATGCTTTCTGTGGAGTTTACGTCCAATTAGACCTGTTTAGGATTGCTCCCTGAGTGACTATGGGCCTGTCACTCTCAGCCTATCCTGTTCACAGGATGGTTGTGTGGGGGAAAATGGTGAAAGGAGACTATTTGCTCTACAATGAGTTCCTTGGAGCATGGCTGTATAACTATCAAACAAATAAATAAAGGCACTAAGGTATTGCATATGAAGCCCTCAGTAAAATGATTTTTTAAAATAAATTAGCATAGTATCACAACTGTAGTTGTAGGGACTGTATCAGTAATGATAGCAAGTAGAAATATATACAAGCTAGTAAGAAAAATTAAATTATGGATTGAAATATGTCCAAGCATTATTTTCAGATGGAATGTGAATGTTCATAAATAATGCATTGCAGGTAGAGATTGGCAAAACAGTTAAAGCATATGTCAGAGTACTGGATGCTTCCAAGAAATACTTTCTGGCTAAATACTTTACTTTCATGGATTTAAAGCTGAAGGCAGCATCTCAGATTATTTCCTTGAAGTAAGTACTTTTTTAATGCTCTTATTCAGGCAGACAAAACTAAAAGCAATATGTGTACAATCTGCATAGATACTGAAATAATAATAGACATTCAGAAGTTGAGTAGTGGAATATTATTATATATGTGAAAGATTGCATTATTAAAATTTGGTGCTTATTTTTTTTACTCTACTGTCATTTGTATATCTAACAGCCAAGGGTCCCTCTGTATGCGGATATCTAAATTCACACATCGGACCACATGGAGGATAAACAGATTTTCCTGCACACTTGGGGCACTCCCCAGGTGTGCAGAAAAATCTGAAATGTTGAGAAAACTATACAGGGGATACTTAAATCCCCCCAAAAGTAAAAGAGCGTTCCCTGTGTATGGTGGAGGTAGACAACGACAGCTGTGAGTAAGGTTGAAGGCTGGGAGCCGCACAGGGCTCACTGCAGCTGTTGGGAGTGACCTCAGCGGGCTGGCAGCTGGGAGCCACTCAGAACTCACCACCGATGCTGGGGAGAGAGAAGCCTTGGCAGGCCCAGCAGCTGGGAGCCACGCAGGCCTCGTTGCCATTGCGGGGGGGGGCAGGGGAGAAGGCTTGGTGGGTCTGATGGCTGGGAGCGACACAGGCCTCACCACCATTGCCACCTGCTGGGCTCACCTGCAGCCACTTCCTCCTCCTCCATGCGGAGCTCCTGTTGCTTCAGCAGGGGAGCCGCGGGGAATACTTCTTGTTTATTTATATTTTCCTTTCTATTAGAACTAATTATGGCAACTTGCAGACTCTTAAAACCACCAACAAACTATTAACAATCAAAGCCTTAACCAGCAAAATGTACTAAAACTCTAATAAATATAGGTGGTATAATTCTCAATAACAACATTGTTGCCCATCATTTACATAAGGGAAGGATTTATAAAATATTTTTTCTTTATATAATAGCAGAAATTTTTTAGAGGAAGAATTGTTGGGCGGGCTCAATGAGGAGCCTTGGTGAATACTGAAAAAGTCTATGTCCACTTTCACACATATCTAATTTCTGTACTAAAAGGAGCATGTAAGCCAGGCATTTCTTCATAAGGGTCCCATTTCTGCTTTAGTAGATTTACCAACTGATCAGAAAACAAATGGCCTGTCCATTTTGGAAGAGGAGGTTGCCAGAAAGGCAGAGCTGAAGGGTGTTTCTGTACCACTATCATTGCTATCCCCCCCCCTTTTAAAAAAGTCTGCAAATATCTTTTGTACTAGAATCTGCCATGGATATACCAGTCTCCCTCCAGACACCTAAAATTGCTGGGCTTTTCACTCTGGCTACTTCCCAGAGCCTTCTCTGTAGATGATCTAATAAAATATACTTGATTGAAGAGTTAACAAACCTTGGGGTCAGTCTCTAGTTCAGTAAAACAATTTCACCAGAGCCTTATGTAGTTTTGAATTCACTCAGTTAAGGCTTCAGTCCTGAACTATTACATTCTAGGGAGTAAAAATAATTAAAGCAACTTGTCCTGACTCTATCTGATGGAATCAAAACAACTTTATTGCTCCCATTTGAAAAGAATAATAAATTTAAATTGAAAAGCCCTTTCATCATTTTTCTCCTCATCTGATATTGCTAAAACTTTAAAGCATATAAGGATTTTACATACTTGGGTTGTCCCCCAAGAGGGCCTCCTTAAAACCTGCTTATTGAATATATAATTATTGATGGTGTCATTCACTATGACTCCAAAGCTGCATCCTTAATAATACTACTTTAGTTTCAGCCAGTATCTGAGCCATTTTGCTTCTAAACTGAGGCTATGGTATATTTTGCTACTTAGCAAAGTTCAGAAATATGAAAGACTATACCCGGTAGAGAAACACCATCTTTATCTCTCTCTTTTTTTTAACGTAAACCAACTTGTCTAATTAATATATTTTCTTACTGCAGTCTTCTCAGTGAAGCTCCGGATGAATACACTGCTACTTTTGTAGTTCATGGCGTGGCCATAGGTCGAACCAGTATTACAGCAGTTGTCATTGACAAAGATGGAGAGAGAATCAATTCAGCTCCACAGCAAATTGAAGTAAACATTTTCACTGTTAACTGATAATGCTTTCTCGAATGCTTTCTACTGTGCTGCTGTTTGTAGTCTGAAATAACTAATGTCTCAAAATAATTAAGATATTTGAAACTAGCTTTTTAAACATGGTTAAATATCAATATAATTAAGCAAAAATACATTGGCGGTAGATTTTTCTAGGTGCTCAGCTTACTGCAGCCTGGGAATATATTATTAATCATTTAGTAGTAATACTGTACTGGACAGAACAAGTGATCATTTTTTAAAAGTGTAATCGTGGCACAAAGATGAAGGGAGAGGCAGGGTTTGATAGAAGTAAGGAGCATAGAA